CAGCGCACACTGAAAAAAGTATAATGATACCAAGGTCAGTGCTTACAAACTTGTGAACTCGAATTATCAATTTGACTACTCATAATTCAAATGAGAGAGATTGTTCACCAGTTAATTAATAGGTATATTGCATTTTTTGTCAGTATCTATAATGGATATGTGGTTTTACAATTTCAAAATTAAGTATGTATCTATAAAATAATTAACGATTCTGGATGAATGATAATTATATTCGCACTAATTACGAGTATAAACTCATATTATGTTACATCATTAATCCGAAGCTGTGGTGTGGTTAATGTTATATCGGGTTACACTGAAAGTAGTATATGAAAGTATTATTTATAAAGGATTAAAAACCCTTCGTAAAAGGGTGACCTCACATGGGTCCTACTCGAATAAAAAAAAATCTGTGATTGTTGATCCAGCTGAACTGCCCAATAATGTCCTCTATTCCCTTCACTGAACTGCTTTGATCCTTTTCCGTAACAATATTTCTGATACGAATTACGATGTAGTTGCATGATTTTAATGGCTTTCATAAAGTTACGGTACCGCCGATAATAGCATGTCGGATGGCCGCGGTCACAGCCCGATCACGCGAAACAGCCCGTAAGCAAACCCGTGAAATTGCGATTTTTCGAATCTCCAATAAAAAGTCTGTAGTAAAAATAATTTAAACTATTTAATTAATATTACTCGTGATGTTCTAGAATCAATAGTCATAATGTCATGTAACTCGAGAAATAAATAAAGATTTGAGTAATATTTTTGTCCATTTAGAAAGTGAAAACGAATTAGTAATTTACTGAAATATAAATGATCGGTCTCGATAGATGTCTTCAATTGTAATACGAATAATTTATAATTGAATCAAATCTACAAATACTTTCACGTTTTCTAATTAAGTGCAATGTTCACTTTCAAATTCATTGTCATTTGTAAGCGATAATGGATAAATCTTTGAGCAAATCAATAGCTCACTAAGGGATGTTAAAATGGCCCAGTAACTTAATTTGTAATGTTACCGCCCGATTCCAACGTCCAGTAATGATTTGTGAGTTTGGCCGGCTTGCACGCCATTCTTTTATAACTCGGCCCGTAAGTCTCAAAAGTATTTCTCGACAAGCATTGCAATAGGGAACTTTTAGCGGAAAATACGAGCCAAGTTTCCTTTACCTTGACTCGCAAAAAATCTCTGTCGCTCCCGGCGGCCCGGCGTGCGCCCAGACACGATAAAATTTACATGTTTCGCTTTCAGGCTTTATTTTATTTTAAAGGGTGTAATAAGATGGCATTACGCAAAGAGAATATTCAATTAGAGACTGCTTTTAGATTTATGCAATAGGAGCCGGTTCGAACTTGTTTTTTTCTTTACTCTCTTTTTTGGTATTTCACTCTTTATGACTCGATTCTTTTTGTTTATTAGACGTTTTATGCAGGCTCGCGGGCCGTTCATTCGAAATAAAATTTTCCCCGGGACAACGGTGGTGTCACGAGGAAAATATATTGGAAAAAATCTTTATTCTCGCGCGACAAAGAGTCCCGTCAAGGAAAAATGTAGAACTTTTGTGATTTCATTTTTGGGTTTTGTATTAAAACGCGTTTGGTATTCATTATTTTTCATTTGCTCGCGAATGGCTGCTGTAAATTTTAATCTTGCTAACATGATTGCAATATCTAGGGGTTGCTTGCCAACGATAAATATGAGGTGATTCATAAAACGAGTAATTAAATGAACGGTGGATCATTTAGGAGGGGAATCTGAACTATCGAGCGGTTGATATTGCTCTCTACTGGGGCGCTGTTAAATCTTTTATCGGCAGTTAGACGGGCGGGCTTCAAGTGCTCGTTAATATTAAACCGGCCGCAGTCGCGAAAATTTGCCTTCTCATCACGTCGGCCGACCCAATAAATCTACTTGAATGCCTAAAGACGTATGCCTTTGCTTTAGTTTTCAGAAAAAGTGCTATCTACTTCAAAAAATTATCAGAATAAGAAATGGAAAAAAATATAAAAAGACCATAGAAATTGAGAGCCAAATCGCTTGAAGTAGACTCAAATAAATCAGTTCAAACCTTATGGTATTTACTCTATTTCCAAACTTCTATTTTGGTACTCTCTTCCTGGACACCCAGTAAGTAATACAATCTTGTCTAGTCTACACAGTAATTAAAATTAGCTAAACAAACTTAGAATAGCATAAAACAGCTAATTTACAATGTTTATTCATTCCCACAGCCACTAACTACTAACACTCCAGATGAATAAACACTTAATAACGAGCCAGCATTTAGGAGAATTCTATTCGTTTCTATATTTATTTTGCCATTCTTTTTGTCATCATCAAAAAAGTACTTTGTTTGTGGCCTTTTTGTTTTCGGCAATATTTTTCATCAGAAAGTATGTAAAAGATGAAACAATTTGTAGTACCTAATTATGAACCGTGGTTTTGTTCGCGTAGATTTTGGTTTAAATAGATTTTTTTAAATACATACCAGAAAAACGTTTTCTGTATGGGACAAAGCAATTGATAAGCTTCTATGGGCATGTCGAGGAAAGAAAGTTCTTAGACTTTTTAATAGGGACGAGTTTTTGCTAATTAATGAGTGTAGTGACTCGTGTCCCAAAGTTCTTTTTTTTTATTCAATTATTTTCCTTCGTCCACAAAGAAAATTAATTGAATAATAATTTTCGTTTGATTTAGTACTTATTATTGCGTAAAATGATTGATCATTTATTTAAACATTTTTAATTCCTACTAAGCGCTTTTAATGCGTATTTTGGTTAGAAATACTTTAATAAGTATAGTACATAAATAACTCCATTTCCACAATAACCGAGTAGTTAGTTGCATTTTGAACTGTATAACTTTAAAATAAGGTTGAAAATCAATTGAGGAAACTCGTCGTTTCTAAGTTGATCTGCTGTCAACTTTCAGCGCCCATCCCTCTATTAAACGCCTATGGGACGAGAAAATTGTTAGACGCAAAGTGATAGATTGCGTCAAATCATGTTTATTTCTGCCTGCTTTATGACGAGCAGATGTGAGCGTCGCAACTGTTCAAATAACTGAGTTTTATTGAGATCCTTTGATGTCTTCTAAAAGCAATTTTCTCCTGTTTGTGTTCCATATATAGAGCGAGCAAACACGCTCTTTATCTGCTTCTCGGAAGGTAATAGTAATTTGTGCAAATACAACCATTTCGGTGCTCGTAATACTTTTTGCGTTGGTTATTTAGTCTTGTATTAAATTGGGATATAATTTGTCGACACAATAAGCAGACGAATGTGGAAATCGATGGGGGAGGCCTATGTTCAGCAGTGGACGTCCCGTGGCTGAAATGATAGTGAAATGAATATGATAGACATTAAAAAAAGATAATGGTGAGATTAAACTGTGATGTTATTAAAAATATGATACTGTAAAGTTAACGCATTAGTACTTATAACCAGTTATAATGCAGACAAAATATGTCACATAGGTATAGCCATGCTTTGCCAACAAATAAACAGTTAGGCCTGAATCAATAAGTCAACTTTTGGCACCGCTACTCCTTGGCCGATTCCAGCGTTTTAAGTACGATTCCACTTTCTTTAAGTCGTCATAACTCACAATGTTTACCAAATCCCACGAAGATATATTCTAATGACGTCACAGATCGCGTAGCCGCGTGTAAATCAACGGGTTGATCCCGCCGAGTAAATATTATGGAAAGCACAAACAGCTCCTGAGCTACAAACAAATTACCGTCGACACCGCATCCCAAACTTCGGATTGCTTGCAAAATTCTGTTTGTACAACATTGCCCTAATTAGTGCTCGGTCGAACGAAGTACGCTCAATCGATTTTGCCGCTAAAAGAAATCTTTGACACGGTTTGTTTACGATTTAGTAGCTTTTATTTCTTCTAGGTCTTCAAATAGGCCTATAGGTTACACTTTACTAGCTACTTTTGAACATATTGAAGATTTTCTGACCGATCCTCTTTTTTTTCGGTCCAGTGTATTTGTATGAGGAAACGTCTGTATTCTGTATTTTGAAATCACAAATTACTTGCAAGACTTTGCCACATAATTGAAAATTGCATTTTAATACATTGAGCTGAATTTCATAATTAAATGTTAATCAATAACAGCACGTCGATCAATCAATCGCTGTCATCTATTTATTCGATCAAATCGTGATTGTTCGTCTTTATTCTCTAGATTTATTTTTCAATGATCATTCAATAATTGAATCTATCAGTAAATCTGTAATTAATTGCGAAGTAAGTATCATCATTTTAAGATCATTTTACGTGTAAATTGATGACGGGATATGCTTTATTGTGACATAATTGGGTCGACAGCGGAATTCGTTAAGAAAGAGTGAAATATCGCATTCCTCCATCTTTTTAATGAAAAAACTGAACGGGAGATGTAATTTTTTAATGAAATTCTGTTTCACTTATCTGGAAAATGTTTTATAGTCGTCAGCTCAGCACATGTCAATTTCGTTACAAAATTACCAATTACCTACCAATGGAGTTGTCTAATGTTTATTTAAGTCTTCGTTCGTTCTCTGTAAAGTGGGCAAGACTTGAGTCGTCAATAACATAGAGTACTACGAAAAGTTCCTACTTACAAACTGTAGTGACAGTTCATTCTTAGAAAGTAAACTGTAGCATACATTGCGTTACTAGTACTCTCGTTGGAAAATACAACCAGGTATTGATAAAGCTTGTACTGTAAAACGTATTGGAAACTATGGAAAAGAGCCCTAGGTAACGTCTGTCACTCAAACACAGGTGCTCTACTTCTGTTTAATGTTTAAGCTTGGACGAATAAACCACTGGACGCGTAACGAGTGACGTTTTCGTCTTTACCCCGCTAGCACTTACCATGGCTAAATTAGCCATGGTAAATGTTGTCAGGTTGTCACTTTGTCAGTATGACGCCAGCTCTCGAAGAGTAAAAATATCACGAAAAATGGGTAAATGCGCCGTACTTTATTGCAAAAATTATTCCTGTCACACAAGAAATGTTTCTTATCACGCGTAAGTACATTTTAAATCTATTATAGTAGCTATTTTTTCGTAAAATAAATAAAATTTGATATGTAAACAAAATATGATTACGTCATTTTAAAAAGTACTCATTGTACATGTAAATGCTTAAAACATGTAGCATATTTAATTTGGTTGGATTATAGGTTTCATTCATTCATTCACATCTAATTTTTTATGACGTAAAGGGCTTGAAAAATGTCGATAAGTTTATCGATATACCAAACAAACTGAAACTGAAATTATTCAAATTAATTTTAGATTTTGATAGATTTTTTTGTTTTGATAATTTTAGTCACATGAAACAAAAGATTATGAGATAGACATAGATGGAACATACAAAACAAGCACACCAGTAAATGTAAGTAATAATTACACCTTTTTTGAAATATGTTGTACATCAAAATACTGGTCAAATTTGAATAAAATATTTTTGATGTTGATTGATTTTTTGGCTTTATTTTAGTCACATGAAACAAAAGATGATGAGATCCACACAGATGGAACATACAATTTAAACTTTTCATTGCATCTAAATATTAATAATGTCATCACAAAAATACGCCAAATGACTACAATTATTATTTTTTATTTCATTAACAGGTTTTATTTTCGGTATGCAATACCGAGGTGGAACCTTTTAGATCTGTGTCATCCCCTCACGTTTAGTGAAATACCGGGGTGGTTGGAACTTGATTTGGTCCATCCTGTCATCAACTGTTTTTCAATGGGACGACTTCTGAACATCAGAGAGATCTTGACTGTCAAGATACGTGAATTAGGCCACTGAACTTTTCAAAACAAAACCAACACAGGTGAAATATCTGAGCATCTCCCTTGACAATAAATTGAACTGGGCAAGTCATATCGACAACATGCATAGTGCCTAGCAAACATAGCGGCCATGGGTTGTATGAGAACCACTCTATCGGCATCACTTGACTTCTTTCTGAATCTCAGACATTTAGACCTCATTATTCAGGAGGAAGCACAAGCACCCACTCTAAGACTTAAAGGAAACGATCTATGAAAGCAAAACAAGGAGACAGGATATTCCGCGATTCTGCACAAAACCCTAAAAGAAATACCCCTCATCAACAGGATAGGTACCCTGTGTACACATCTTCGACCAAAGATAATATCCAGCTTACAGCGGAAACGCGAAATTGCTCTGGAATCAATGAAGTTAGGATACCTATACCGACGTCTTCAAAACTGAAATAAGTACTAGGAGGTCTTCTCGAATGACCTAAACATAAGAATATCAACAACATTAGATAAGAATTAAATATTCTCAGATAGTGCATCCGTACTGCAAGCGCTACAAAGCAATACATTGTCATAATGTTATCAAATTGTGTTTCATGAAATGTATAGAAATAGGCTATTGATGAAACTTTTGTCCGTGACGTGAGACAGATTATAACATTTGTTGAGAACTTGAGACCAAAAGCTAGTTAGCAGCCGATCGTAACAGAATATTACTTGTTTATTGCTTTACGAATTTGATAATGATAACACAGCCAAAAAATATTTCACCTAGTTACCTACCTATATGAATAATTTGTAATATTATTTGTACCTATGATTTACCAATGGCATTATAATAAACACGATACAAAAATTAATTATAGTCTTTCAATTAAAGAAACTTTCAATATTAAATCAATATTTATCTCGTTAGGTTCATTCATTCATTTACATAACTATCGATAAAAATTTACGATCTTTTCCCAGCACTAAATGTCATTATTTGACAATTGTCAAACCTCTCCCCCCGCAAAAAGTGGTTGATCGTGTTTCCTTACAAATCTTGTAGGTTTCGTGTCCAGTGGTTTATTCGTCCAAGTGTTTAAGTCATGTTACTGAGCTTGATATCGTGTCTTCCACCCAAACTTTGAGGTAACGTATTCCGTAATCCGTAAGTGCCTTTCCTCCCTGATCACCTGTCAAAAGTTCTGCTACTCATCTGCTTATAGTAGTCGACTAATACCTATACTGTATATTCCCACAAAAAAGTCATAGGTAATTAAAATTTTATTGTCCCTAGAGAAAATAAATGACAATTTTTTATACAGAAAGAAACAGATTTCAACGAGTAGGTATGTATACCATACCTAATAGCTCGCACGTATAGCGAGTCAAAAAGCTTCATTGTAAGATTCTAATTCCAAATAAGCAAGATTATGTGACTCGTTAATTGCGGCGATGAGTAGATGTTATATTTAAATTGTATTTTAAGATATTGGAAAACTTAGCTCGCGTTGTGAGGTGACGTCTGGAGCATGTGGTTTTAATGGCTGCACTCAAATGCAGGGATGCTCTATTTCCTCTCACGTCTATGAGCCGTATGAGGTATCTTGGGAGAATTAAATGACATACGATGGGGTCGAATGGACTGAATAAACAGTTTTAACGCAATGTTAGGCTTGCTAGACTAAAATAAAGTTTTGTAACAGGTTTTAACAGTAAAATTACTCAGGTGTACTAATTTATGATGTATGTGTGTGCTTAATTGAAGTATTATAAGAATATTGTTAATTAACTCTTTACTTCAACGTTAAAGGAAAGTGTAAAATGTAATTTTCTTGATGTTGCCAACGCCTTTGAAGACTGTTTTCAAAGGACTTAAAGCTCAAATAGGTTGTTTACTGTATTGAAAATATAAATAAGATATTATTTATACAAGACTTGTATAAAGTTTACTACTAACAAATTAAGCTAACAATATTTTGTGAACCAAAAACTAGAGGACTTGAATCCTCAACAACAATACCAGTCCGTGTAGCAGTTTCCGGAACATTTCACGAATAAATTGGGATCGGAACTTTTTGGTGTAAAGTTGAGTTTAAAAAACTGAAAAATAACGTGACGTGGAATTTGGTCAGGTTCGCGGTGGAGTCGAAAAAGCTTGCCTTCATACATAGACCGGGCGACGGGGCTCTCAATACGTTATCGATTGGATACGAGAGAAAACATTATTTTGTTGTTTTTTTCATTACATAATATAGTCTACTATTTTGTCTCAGTGTCACAATGCAGTGTAGCGTGGTAGCTAAACGACGTGCGATTAATCAAGTTTTTTTTGCAATAATATGTAAATGATGCGCCTTTACATCACCTCTTCTCCTCTACCAAAACACCCAGTAATATCCATAGACATTACTCTTTTCGTCGCGTGCTTGTTTGTCCTTTACCATTACATTTCCATAAGATAAACTATTTCCTTTCATCTTTTCTGTCACCAGTGAATCTCTTCTTACCTTCACCTGGATCTAAATCTGGCTCAAAAATTGCATTACAGATTCTTCTAACTGATTGCATAGCTTATCCTATTTTAAAACAGATCAAAATTTAAAAAGGTTTGATATTTCATATTTTAATATAGAGTTACTTTATCACCCGGTCTATAAAGTCAAGGACACGAAGCTACAGTTCACCTGACTATCCGAAAGACTGACACCCGATTCGATTAGTGCCCGAATATAAAGCGGAAAAATAAAGAGTGGCCGAAACTAATTTGGTCCCACGACCTGCCCCGCATGGCTACGTATTTTAATCAGACATTCCTTTACATTTTTTCCTCGTGCGGAATGAAATAGTTTGTTATTTTTGAGTTCCATTGATCATTCGGGCGATTTTCGTCTATAACACAAATCAATAAGTCTGATTGTATAACTAACTAGCTTTCCGCCCACGGCTTCGCGCGCGTGGACTACATTATCTACATATTTTACGGAACCCTATTGTTTTCCAAAATAAAATTTAGCCTATGTTACTCGTGGATAATGTAGCTTTCGAATGGTGAAAGAATTTTTAAAACCGGTCCAGTAGTTTTTGAGCCTATTCATTACAACCAAACAAACAAACAAACAAAGTTTTCCTCTTTATAATATTAGTGTAGATTGTACGAACTGCGTAATATTTTATTGGTCTCCATCGTACCGTACACGTTTGGAATTCGATTGTTTGAATTGAAGGGGATATTACCCATTGTTCTTACAATCTACATAATGATTTCAGTAGTCATCACCGTAACGCTTATCTTGGTCAACGCTTCATTGCGTTGATTGCAACGTTAAACGGCTGTAATAGGTAGGTAAAAGACAAGCCGAGTTGGCCATTCAAACGCGGTTCATTGTCCACATTTACGGTAGATTTGATAATTCCTTGATTAACTTAGCTCTCGGAAGATTATGAAATACATTAGGGATATTTTGTTGCGGTCAGCGCTTTGTCATTAAACAAATGCCGATCTGATGAATGTGAACTCCACGTGAACTATAATGCTTTTAGCCCTTTTACCTTACGACATTCTTGCTTGATGGCAAAAATGTTTTATACTATTTGTGTCATTGTCATTTCTTAAAGTTTTACTTCCGGAAAATCATTGAGGTTATTAGTTTTATAGCAACACTAGCTTTCCACCCGCGGCTCCGCACGCGTGAAATTTCTTTTGTCACAGATCGTCATAAATTATAGCCTATATGTTATTCTGGATTATGAACAATAATACTGTAAAGTTTCATCAAAAGCCGTTCAGTGGTTTTTGAGCCCATTCATTACAAACATACAAAAATAGGTACAAATCTTTCCTCTTTATAATACCTATTAGTATAGATTAAGCTGTTCAAAAAATTTTTGTGTAAGCTGTTTTTTGTTAACTGTCAAATTACCGACGCCAATAAATGTTATAAGCTAGTATAAGTTTAGTAAAGTCTAGGATTATTCACAGTTTGGTTTAATTGTGGTCACTTTCTACATCTTCATTCGACCGCTTACGGCGCTCTAAGTGAGGAAGTGGTTACTCTAAATCCCTCGGTGCATAAACTGTAAACTAATTTTAATCCAAGAACGGACAGACTAACGACCGGATATTTTTGGTTGACGCCATTAGGGGGCGCCTCTAAAAAGCTGCACTAGACGTTCGATGTGTTGAGATTAGTCGAGAATCGAGATATCCCTTCACTCGATGTTCAATAATCGAGTATCTCGTTTAATCAATTAGCTGGGGAATAGATTGTTGTATTGTACGAGTAGTTCTCCCAATTGCAGCACTTTAGGTTTATTTTACGTCAGTAATTGATTACGGTTTCATCAAACAGGGAGTTTGTTTAAATGCTGAAGTTTGCATTGTTTTGCTGTATTTAATCATGTACGTTTTCATACGTTCAGTTTGAATTATATCGATGTGGTGCATTGTTTAGTTAGACGTATTTTATATGACTACACATGTCGATGAAATAAAATATTTTATGTCAACACATCACTAGTCGTTCCTAATTTATAAACACCCTTCTTTATCATGGCACTAAATTACCATTCTTCCTGCCCTCTACTCTGGTTCAGATTAGTGTTTTAATTTGTATGGCTTTAAATTTTTGTAATGACTGTGTATTTTTATGAACTGAACATTCGTGTGTGTTTATAATATTGTAGATAATTGAAAATAGAATCTATATATCTATATATATAAAAGAAAGTCGTGTTAGTTACTCCACTTATAACTCAAGAACGGCTGAACCGATTTAGCTGAAAATTGTCAGGGAGGTAGTTTAGAGCCAGGAGAAGGACATAGGATACTTTTTATCCCGTTCGAAATAAAAAAAAAAGTCTGCTTATTTATTGCCATTAAGGCGAAACAAAGTTCGCCGGGTCAGCTATCTATATACAGTGTGAGTCACGTTAAAGTGTACATATGAAAATAGATGAAACTAGACCTATTTTTATCGACAAAAAAGAGGTCAATTTTTTTTTGAGATTTTTTTTAAATTTTTTATCGAATTTTTTTTCTTCCAATTACTTATTGTAAAGAAAACGTAATAACTTTTAAACTAAGCGGTATATCCTGATAAAATAAAAACAGTAATAATGCTGAATAACAGGCAATACTAAAAAAATACATAAAATACACAAAAAAGGCCAACAAATAATAAAAAATGATACTTTTTGAAAAAAATCTGCTTAAAAATTCGTGTTTTTTTGGTTATTTGATAAATTTCTCCAAAAAATGCCCCTATAACCG